CTTGCCTCAATACTACACAAAAACAATTTACTTGGCAAAAATGTTTGTATCAGATACTATTGAAAGCGGAAAATTGACTTTAAAGTAGATGGTCTATTATTCATATAGATCAATTCATCTTTTCCATAATGGAAGTGTCAAGCCATCCATATCTTTTGCCCATTCTGTGCATTTAAAAAAGAATATGACAATATGGATATACTATTTATGGCGATCGAATATGACAGTAATCGATGGAACAAGATTTTGGGAGATCCTAAAGTTATTGGTATGTTAATGGGTATGAAAGCATGTTTTACAAAATATTGTTGTTTTCCTTGCCTGTGGGAGAGTCATGCTACAATTAACACTACAGCAAACGTGACCCAGGAACAAACTGTCTAGTCTGTCCCTTTAGTTGATTCCCAAAAGATCTTCATACCACCTCTCCACATTAAATTTAGTTTAATAAAAATTTTTGTTAAAGCCACGGGTAAATATAATTCACAAGGGTTCCAATACCATCTTATAAGTTTAATCAACTTATGAAAATTATTTTATTGAAAAAAAACTTTTTAACAACATTTTATTATATAGATTTATTTATAACAATATTATTTTTAAACGAATATTTTTTTGTCAATTTTAGGGATTTTACCCCAAATACTAAAGATTTGAACCCAAATATCTTTACAAGTTGACGTGAGGGTGAAAAGTTGCATAATTGAAATCAAAATGAGCAATGCATTAAAAATTGTCGACCTAATAAATCTTGATTTGTCGAAATGAGCTTTTGGTTAATTTCTCACCAAATTATAAAACTTATATCAGCAAATTAAATCCTAATAAAATTAGGATAAAACAACTGTTAGAAAATGCGCATTCACTATACATATATAGACGAGAAGCAAAAAGGCTTCAAATAAAAGCAAACTTTTTTTGAATTTTTTTTTTTTTGAATTACTGTACGCTAACTGGTTTTTATCATTTCTCTTAAAATGTTAAAATATGTTGTATAAGATTTAAATAAATACATTAAGTAATATTTTAAGTTTTAATTAGATGCAGAGAAATGTCAAATAAATTAAATGTTTTTGTTTTAATATTTTTAAATATTTATGCGTTGGGGAAAGAGGGGACTTTTTTTTGAAAAAAATTAATGCGTACTTACGCGGAGAGGGAAGGGGGTTTCTTTGAAAGCGTGCAGGTTCGTACTAAGGGGAAGGGGTGTCCTAAATCAGTGGTTTTATTGTGTACGTACTCTATGGATGCCCCCTTAAACAAAAAAAAGTCTCCACCCTTGTATTAAGGTGAGTTTCCACTCATCCATTTTTTTACGGGAACGGGATAGGAAAGGAAAAAATAATCACGTGAGCATGCGTAGTTTTCCATCGGACATATTAAAACTTATACTACGCATGCCCTCGTGACTATTTTTCCCGTCCCTTTCCGTTCCCGTGAAAAAAACGGATGAGTGGAAACTCACCTTTAAGGACCTTATATTAAGTAAAAAATTTTTGTCTTTAATTACGATCGTTACTTTTTTTCCGAATAAAAATAGACCAATATAATGGTTATATATAATATAATGGTTCTAAATCCAAACTATTTAACTGAGAACGTTTTCGGAAGTTCTACGTTGATCTGAAAAATTCTTGAGACTTCTAGACAATTTTTAGAGTTTAAGATAAACTACTTTATATTATGTTCGAGTTGAGTATTTACTCAAAAACGGACAAATTTACTCTGATCGCAGAAGCAAAGTAAATACTTTTATTGCTAAAATTATTCTATTTGTCTAATTACTAGACGAATACTATCCACTTTTTGTTGAAATTTAATTACAATGCAGATTTGTTAACACAATTTCATATATGATCTGTAAAAATATAGTATTTCTACTACAAAAAAAAAATTGCAGAAATACTGTATTGATATAAACGCTTAATTGTACATTAGGCGTTTATATCAAAACTCTGACTGCGCAAGTGTTGTTTTTTCACAAAACTGTCACTTAAGAACAGGTGATTTTCCAGTAACCCATCGATTTGTTTGAGGCGTAACGGGTTAGAAAGACACTTGGTACTAAAGAACAAAATATTGAAACAGTTTATTAAGTTTTATTAGAGTGTTAAATTGCAGCATAGTGTATTTATTAATGAAGTTTTTTTGTTTTTATTTTCAAGTCTATCAAGACCAAAGAAGGAAAAGTATCCATTAATGTACAAAGTTCGTGTTATTAACCAAGACGGTTCATCGTATTTTACAAGATATCATCTTCCAATCGGCTGTATTCGTTTACCGGTTGATCCTAATTCCTTGACTGAAGAGCAAATGAAAGCTAGGTTAAAAAGACAAAGAAACGAAAAAAAAATAATTTTATCCGAATACAAAGAAGATGTTCAGTTTGATCGCAGAGCTATGGCTAACTTAATGAAGAAGAAATAATATTAGAATTGTTAATAAAGAATTTCATCTATTTGTATTTTTGTGACTTTTTTACTGGTGAGTCGTAAATTTACCGGTTTTGTGCGTTTTCTGCAGATGTATCCGATATATCAAATTTTTTTCGAAAATATTTATTTTAAAGCGTACTAGAGTTTGTTTGCAAAATTATACGAATGTTTTATTTGTTTGTCAAACCAGGGATGCGAAGTCCTATTAATTTTTATGGACTCCCGAGTCAAAAAATAAGGATTCCGGACTCCAATTTTTTTTTTAATACCGTAAAACGGGGCTTTTTGGAAAGTATGAAACTATTTGAAAATAAATATTTTTTCGCTTAAACTGTTTGCTATATAAGTATTCTTTAGATTTAAGTAGTTGTGTTTTCAATAATTTTATTAAACTACTTGTTAAAATAAAATAGTAAGAGGGTTTATGTTTATCCGTTTTGGTTTAAAAATTGCGATTAAAACAACCATATTTTTTAATTTGAAAAATTGTAACTTGACTAACTTTATTCCTAAGCAATAAATAAACAGTAATATTTAGGACCTTTTAACAAAAAAAAAAATAATCCGCCAATTTAAATTTAAAATTGTATTTATAACACAATATTTTATTAAATATTTAAAGATTTTTTACAGAGGGGCTTTTTTTTCATTTGATTTGGATAACATTGGGGTTATTTACAAAATCCATCTCAATTGTTTCTATTAATTGTGAAAGTAAAAATATTGTAATTTTATGCTATAATGTCGTATCTTTGTGGTGAATACAAAATAAGCAGATGTGTCAGGAATGACTAAACATGCAACAGTTTTAATGAAGACGATCAACAAAGGGCGTTTATTTCGTGCAATGCAAAATATGACAAATATTTCACCTGATTGCATTATGAACTATGATGAGATAAACTTGAGAAATGATTCTGGAGCCAAAAAAATGTATTTTTAAACGACGCACTTTGTATCCAGAAAGAGTTTTAAGCAGTTCTGAAACCTCAACAAGTTTAATGTTTGCTGGAACTATTAATGGTACTATTTTACCCATTTACTTTGTTTATATATCAGAATATTTGAGGGATACTTGGTGAAAGGCAGACCAACTGTTTATAACAAAAGTTAAAGTGAATGGTTTGATATTTTTTATTTTGAAGATTGGTTTTTCAAAATAATTGTTCCATTTTACAAATTACAAAACAATGAAGGAAATAAAATTCTTATTAGTGACAATTTATCATCACACTTCTCTGAAAAAGTGCTAAATGGATGTAAAGAGTATGATGTGGCGTTTATAAAGAGTATGATGTCACATTCATAAAAAGTATGATGTGGCATTTATCTTTCAGCTAAAACTACTCATCTACTACAACCGTTAAATTTTTTTTGCTCACTTAAAGCATTATTGGAGCTTGATACTCGGTGTAGTTAAGGCGATTTACAAATTATTTGAATTTTTTTATTTGAAATTAGCATGATTTAGGCATATTATGAAGCATAAAATTAGCTTATGTCCAAATAAAAGGTTTAGATGTTATAATTTTTTTTGCATTAGGTCTTTTAATATTTGAAGAAACTTTTCTTTTTTATATATAATTTTCAAAACCTTTTTACTACCCCTAATAGTGAATCTAAAAAACATCATTTTGAAATTTCTAGACCACTTTCGCTCATCAGCTTTACATGAATTTAGTTAAAATCTTTTGGAAAAGTACCTTAATTTACTATAGATCCTAGTTCTAATCGGTTCTGACGTATATTAACTATATATAGTTGTCAAAATACAATATTTCTATCAATTTTCACAAAAATTACTCGAATTCCGACCAAGAAAAATCTTATAATTAAAAAAAAGCGCCCAGGCCCGACAAGAGGGGGGGGGGCAGAGGGGGTATTTTCCCCGGGCCCGGGCCCGTAGGGGCCCAGGACCATCACCATCGGTCTCTTAGTCTATCAGGTCCCAGTCTCCAGGTAATCAGCCAATTCCCATCAAGCAACATTGTGTCTGCATCACTTCATCAGTTAGATAATAATAATAATAGTTAGATAATAATAATAAATTTTAAGATAAATAAATAAATTTACTATGTAATATTGATAGGATAAATCTATTCTTTATTAATAATTTAATTTATTTAATGAAAATACGCTTTTGAGAGTAAAAACGGAGACTAATAGCCTCTAAAACTTAAAAAATAAATATAGGGCACCAGCCCGCAGGTTTTTCGTAAGTTCCTTGCTCATGCCATGCTTTATAATATATATAATAGGCCTATATATATAATATAAATATATAATATAATATATATATAATAGGCCTATATATATATATATATATATATATATATATATATATATATATATATATATATATATATATATATATAATATATATATATATATATATATATATATATATATATATATATATATATATATATATATATATAATTTAATATATAAAGTTATATATATATATTATATACATATATCTATTTTATTTATACAGTATATACTGTACTGTACATTAAACTGAACTTCTATTTTAACTTTTAACAATTATTAATTGTCATTTATTTTAATTTGTCAATTTGCTTATTAACTTAACTAATAAATTTTTGTTCTATTGTTACAGGACCTCGCATAGGCAGCCTACTACATGCAGCTATGGATCATTACCAGCATAAATCTGGTGCTCAAAAAAGAAAAGAAAAGATTGCTCGAGAAAAATCAGCCAAGAAGGGTCAAAGTACGATTGAGTCTTTCGGATTTATAAATTGTAATCGTATTAATGGTGTTTCTGAGGATCAGATGTGCAAGATGAAGTCACAACTCTCAAATATTGAAGTAGAGCCAGTGCCAATTGAGGAAGATGAATTGTTAAATAGGAAAGTTATGAGTGCTGATGTGAAAGAGAATGTAATAGACGAAAATGAAAATATTCTTCCAAAGACATTAACTGCAAGGCTAGAAGAATTACAAGACAAGGCAGATGATGTCCAACTAGTTCCATCAAATAACTATGATATTGGTTTAATTAAGGAATTATTTTGCACTGCTGAACAAATAGAAAAATTTGTTCATCATGGACCCATTGCTCACCCAACAAAATTTCCAAAAGATGCATTGCCTAAATCATTTCCGCGCACGTTATTTCACATTGCCATGCCAAATGGCGAAAAAATTCCACGAGATTGGCTAACGTGGAGTGAGACGAAGAATGCACTTTACTGTTTTCCCTGCCAACTTTTCTCTAAAATGCCAGAAACCCATCGATCGGCATTATCTCTGCCAACAGGATATTCCAAGCCCAAGGACAATAAATGGAAGAAACTTTATGAAAAAATTCCTCATCATCAATCCAGCAGTGGGCATAAGATGTGTTATGTAGAATGGAGACGATTAGAAGAAAATCTCAGAGATAATACAACTATCAATTTTCTACTAAATGATAATATAAAGACAGAAGTGGAAAGATGGAGGCAAATACTTCGTAGAGTATTAGATGTTATCTTGTTTTTGGGTGAAAGAGGTCTTGCATTAAAAGGCGATAGTCATCTAATTGGTGACCCCAAAAATGGGAATTTTTTGGGAATTATAGAACTCATTGGTCATTACGATTCCATTCTACATGATCATCTCGAAAAAGTAAAAGCTTCTCGACAGAGCCATAAGCGAATGCAAGCACATTATTTGTCAAATGATATCCAGAATGAGTTTGTTCAGTGCTGTGCAGATAAAGTCACAGATGTGATATTAGATGAGAGGTAGAAATGCAAATATTTTTCAATGATTGTGGATGCAACGCCTGATACAGCTCATATTGAGCAAAATGTTTTTATTTTAAGATACGTCTTACAAGACAAATTGACAGGAAAATATGAGGTAAAAGAGAGATTTCTAGAATTTGTAGATTGCAATAAAAAAACTGGTGAAGATATTGCAGATATAATTACTTCTACTCTTCAGAAACATAAAATACCACTGATGTGCTGTCGTGGACAAGGATACGACAATGGGAGTAATATGAAAGGTTCAGTCAAGGGAGCACAAGCTCGAATTCTTCAACATTATCCACTTGCTACTTACTCTCCCTGTGCTTGTTATAGTCTGAATTTATGCGGTGCACAAGCTGCTGAATGTTGTCCTCAAGTGCTAACTTTCTTTGGGATAGTGCAAAAACTGTATAACATATTTAGTAGCAGTCCTCAAAGATGGGAAATTAAAAAAAAAAAATATTGGTTCGTCTTTTCATAGCATGTCCCAAACGCGCTGGTCAGCTAGAGTGGACTGCATTAAGCCATTCGCAACCCACCTTCCTGGTATAATCAAATCAGTAGCTGATATAAGGAACCTAAATTTGTCTATAGAAAATCGTGCTGATTTAAATGGGATTATTTCATATATGGAATCGTTTGAATGCATTCTGATGTCCGCTATATGGTTCAAAGTACTTACTGCTATAAATTACACCAATCTTGTTTTGCAAGCACGGAATGCTACATTGGATGTAGAAATGACCAACATCAAACGACTAATTGATGAATTAAAAACTCTTCGAGATAAATGGGATTCTATTATGGTGGAGAGTAAATTAGTTGCAAACACCTTAAACATTTCTCAAGGACTTCCAGAACCTAGACGAAAAATTAGGAAGCGATTTGCTGATGAGACACCTGATGAAATTTCTCTATCAAATTCTGAAAATAATTTTAAACAAAACGTTTTTTATATATTATTGGACTGCATTATAGGAAATATCAGTAGACGATATGAAGCTGCACATGAAATTGACGAAACTTTTAACTTTCTCTCGAAGTATAATCATTACGAAGAGGAAGAAATTCGCCGAAGGAGTAAGGATTTTGTGAATAAATACAAGGATGATGTTTCCATGGAGCTGATTGATGAGCTTTTGCATTTGAAATTTATCCATGATGTTAACATCAAAAATGATTTGGACCCCTTTCTTCTTCTCAATAAAATCAACGACCTGAAACTTATATGTCTTTTCCCCAACATTTGTATTGGCCTGAGAATTTTTTGTACATTACCAGTTACGGTAGCACAAGCTGAA